TATATATATATATATATATATATATATATAATTAACTTCACCATGTGGGGTCTAGATTTAAAGTGATTGTCTTCAATAATTCAAACATAAATTGTCAATTGTCAATTGTCAATTTCTTATTATAATTAACCACAAATCTTAAATGATATAAACAGTCATTAATTAGACTAGACATAAACAGAATTTTACAAATTCATGGCATATGAATGCAAATAAATAATCTGTCCATCATTTAATTTAGGATATAAATTCAAATATCCCACAGCTTCATTGTCTAATATTACAAATGATTATAGAATTATCAAAGTGATTATCAAAGAAATACATCGAACTTCTCTTAACGGTTTCATTCATAGATTATTTAACTTTATCACAGACATTACTAATCAAATCATAAGCACCCCATTCCCTTATAAGATTGCTTCCAAACAAGCACAACACACACTATCACTTAAATAAACAAAACAAAACAACACGACACGACACATGTTAAGGAGAAAAAAGCTTAGTTGCTATGGGACGGCGGAAGCACTTAGCCATTAAAGGCCGAGCTTTCGACAGAGATATTCCAGTTCCTTCAGTCATGTCTACCATTTCCTTGCCAACGTTTTCCCAATCAAAGCATTGGATAACTGATCCTAATGCCAGTCGGATGATACGTGAAGCTAGGGCCTCTCCGGGACATCCTCTCCTCCCGAAACCATAAGGCATTAACTTGAATCCATCTCTGGTTCCCCCAAGTCCTTCAAATCTTTCGGGTTTAAATTTTCTGGGATCCATCCAAATCTTCGGATCATTCTGTATAGCCCACAAGTTCACTAACAACATTGTGCCTGTTGGTATGCGATATCCTCCTACAAAACACTCCTCCGAGGACTGATGAGGAATTAGGAGAGGAGCTGGAGGATACATTCTCATTGTTTCGTTTATAATACAACGTAGGTACGGTAGATTAATTATGTCGGATTCCTCCAACAAACGTTCATCTCCTACGAGATTATCAATTTCAGTTTGGGCCTTCTTTAAGACTTCTGGATTGTTCAATAAAAGAGATAGTGCCCATTCCATTGTTGTAGCTGATGTTTCTGTCCCACCTGCCAGCAAAACCTAGATGCATGTCCAATGATTTTTTCAAGAATTAGTAGATAGCATTATAGGCAAACATGCAGATCTTATTGGATAGAGCAAATAAAGTTTAGTTTCTTATAATATACTCCCTAGAGGGGTAAGTTATTTTTTCCATCTTTAGCAGAACGTATGATTTTTATTTTTGTCGCTAATAAAAGATGCTATATTGGTTAAAAAAATCTCGAAAAAGGGAAATTGAATTAGAGAACTTACAAGCACGAGGCTTCTAATAATTCCATCAGTGTAATACTCAGGTTCTTTCTCCTGCAGTGTCAACAGCACTTCAATCATCGTTTTATTTGTCCCTGCCTTATCCAAATTGTTGCTGCCGCCATTGGCACTTCCTTTACAGTTTACATTCTTCAACCAGTTCCTGCAAGAATTGTAATATCATTGGTTTCTTCTTCGCCCCTCCGACTCCCAGGAATTTTAACACGGGCAAATAATATTCCATATTTGACTCACCAATAATCCGAGAAATCTCAATCGTAATCTCTCTAATCTTCTTTGTCTCCTCGATTTCCACCACATTCTCACAATAATACCTTTTTCCAGCTATCATTCTCATCATCACAATCATTATCAGTTCAAAGAACATGATTTTCATATCAACCGCTTGCTTCGTTTCTGAAATACGATACAGCCTTTTTATCATGGCTTTTACCTCATCAAAACGAATATCTTCAAGCATTTGGAGTCTATGGGTGGATAGCATTTCCATGGAAGATAATTTACGAAGGATTCGCCAGTGACCTCCGTAAGAAACGCTCGCCAAGGATGTGTTGTCATTACTGGCCGTTATGTGTGGGCGGTTGGCAAAAATAATATCGTTTTTGTTGAGACACTCCTCGGCGGCTGACGGAGATGATACCACCAGGACACGGCGGGAGCCGAATTGCAGCAGAAGTATTGGGCCATAACTGTCAGAAATCTTGGCTAAACATCTGTGAATTGGTTTTCTCAGAAGGTAGAGGTGTCCAAGAATGGGTAGATTGAGAATGGGACTTGGTGGAAGATTTCTTAGTTTGTTAAACAAGTGCTTGGTAAACGTGTACAAAGCAAATAAGAGAGGAATGTATGTATAAAGACTGCTCATTTTGATGGAAATGAATGTTTTTAATTTAGTGCGTCGTGCCTGTGTACGTAGCGTTTGCATTTATAGGAATTACAGGGTTCTGCTGACCGTAAACTCTCATGGAAAAAATTTCGGGTTAATTTCATAAACGGTCACTAAATTTACATCAAAATCACAAAACGGTCACTAAAGTTCAAAACTTGCAGAAACGATCACTGAACTTACCTAAACTCTCACTAATGGTCACTGAAGGACCAAAACACATGAATTGAATCCTTGAGGACCTCGAGCTTCATCTAATTTCATTTGCTCAAATTTTGCCCAATAACTTAAAGAATCACCACTTTTTCCTCCACCTACACCATATGGAGCCGACGCCGAAAATTGCGAAATTCGACCGCCATACCGCAAAATAAACCATCGATTTTTACACAACCAACACCTCCTCACCCCCCCCCCTCCACAATCCTATTCCTACAAGCAACCCTAACTGATAAAAAATCATCAATTGAAATTCCGGTTGAAAAAATCATCCCTACGCACGGTTTTACCTCCAATTCCGGCAGATTCGGCCACCGCCACCTCCACACAAACACCATCACCACCACCACCCAAAAAATCATCCAAATGAGAACCGAAATCAAATCAATGATGCTTTAAAATCCTTTTATCAGATGCTCCAAATGCAACCCTTGCCACCCAGCTCATCATTTAACAAATTGATAGTCTCTGTTGCCAAAACCAAGAATTATCAAGATATTATTTTTATGTAGAAAAGGGGTGTGCAAAATTTGTGTTTTTGGGCTGGATTTTCTGTTGTTTCCTTTGATTTGCGGCTGGTGGTTGGTTGGAGATTGTAGAGGGGAATGAGGCGAGGCTCATGGTGATTTGTGGCTCCAAAGTGGAAACTGAGCTTAATGCTAGTACCGTACCCTAATCCCCCCAAACCCCCCAAACCGTACCCTAATCCCCAGTCGCCGATCGCCATCCATGGGCAATGGCAAGCCACCACCTTCCCTCCGCTCCTCTCTCGTATCCCAAGCCGTCGGACGCCATCACCAAGAGCGACAGGAAAGCCCATTCATCCCAGCCCTCCTTCACACCTCTCCCTCATCTGAAGCCGTCGATCACCTCCTTGGGCGATGGTAAGACCTCCTGACCCCAACCCTCCTCCTCACCTAGCCTCATGCCACCCTATTCAGCCATGACATCCTCTGAAAGACCCCAAACTGTGGACATTCAAAGTGAAGGCAGCCCTCATTTCGATCACTCCCTCACTTCAGATATAACTGAGCTTAGTGCCGGGAAGTGGTTGATATTTGGAATCAAGGGCAGATTTTGAGAAATTGAAATTAGATGAAATTTACACTTGAGGTCCTCAAGGATTTAATTCATGTGTTTTTGGTCCTTCTGTGACCTTTAGTGAAAGTTTAGGTAAGTTCAGTGACCGTTTCTGCAAGTTTTGAATTTCAGTGATTGTTTTGTGATTTTGATGTAAGTTCAGTGACCGTTTGTGAAATTAACCCAAAATATTTCAAATGATTAACGAAAATAAGGAAAATATGGACTTTTTATTTTCTAAAGCTCATTTTTCAATCATATATTTTATGAATTTCACAATTTTTATTCATGTTTAATCATGTTATGTTTTAATTGTGTTATTGGCGATTCTGTAAACAAAAGGGACTTAATTGTACATGTTGTAAAAGGTCAAGGAATAATGTGCAATTATGTGAAAATAGGTTTATTAGGTCTAAGGTTCGAGTATGGTAAAAGAAGAAAAATACGACGTGAATTTTCGCTAAACTGTCGCCATGGATTGTCTCGAACGTTAAAAATAGAACCTCCATCGCTTGACTGTCACCCTGTCTTGGCTCAAGCTACAGCCTGTCTCTTGACCGTCGCTAAGCTCTCGCTCGAGCGACAGATTTGTTCGAAAAATTTTTATTTCGCGATTTGAAGACTTTTTCCCTGGCCCATTCGTTTCCTAACCTATCTATATATATCAAAACACATCTATACGAAAAGTGGTGAGGTTGAACATTAAGAGAGCTTCATCTGTGAGATATTCACTCGATTTTGTCTTTTAACATTCATTTACTTTGATTGTTTTGATGAGAAAAATATTGTTTCTATAATTCAAATACCAATCTACTTTTCCTCTATATCTGGTCAGAGTTCTGAAGATCGGGGGAATTTGACTGGAGTTCTAGTCTTTCGTTCATCTACGGGAAATAGACGATTCCACAAGGTTAGAAGTGCTGCAGGGTAACAGATTCCACGAAGAGATTTGGGGTATTTAAATTATGACTATATTTTGTTTGTTATTTTGGACTTTTTGATCTTGATAATTGATAATTCGAACTTCTAGAATTTGGGCTTGCTTGTAATCATTTCGACGAATTCCTACTTCGCAAGTATATTCTCGTTTATACTTGCGAACTACAAATAACTCATTCGTGTCCATCTTCGTCACTCGTAAATGCCAATGGCAACTATCGTCGACTCAGACAATCGTGAATAACGACTTGTTTAATTTCTTCACTTTGAACTCAAAGTTATATTTTAGTGCAATTTAGTGCGCACCTTTGACGACATTCTTCCTCACTAAAGCCACGGAAAGAGGAGTCGTGTGCATTTGATTCAATTCAAATGAATAATTCACGTTAACATCAGAAGCAACTTTCATAGGTGGAATCGTTATATTTATGAACAATGTTAATTATGAAGAAAGTTTCACACTGCCATAAACTCTACTTTTATCAAGAAAAGGCGTGCCTTGGAGTGTGGCTGGAAAAACAATATTTTTTTACAACATTGTTGTAGGTGGTAAAAAAAATGTTAATTTGAAAGATAAATTATTTTTCTAAACTGTTCAAAGACAACATATCGCGTGTTGTATGTTGTAAAAAATATTGCATGACTGTTTTTATTTTGGAGAAAGGGTAAGTAATTAATAATTAATGTAAAGCGGGTGGAACATAGAAGCTACAAAGACAGACATGTGGCAGTGTGAAAGTTTGGCTTCTTCTTGACCCTCCGAATGACACTGAGAATCCTCGCCCCATTAACTAAATTGGATCCAATCCTCGATTTCATTGGCCGTTTGAAAACTCGCAAGTGTACGGGATCGTGGTCAAGTAATAGAATAGTAAATAGAGTGTCGAACCCATGAGGGCTACGTGTTTGATCGAGTTAAAATTAATTCCAACTTAAATCGAATAACAAACAAATTTTGTGATTTTTTATATAAATTACTAAATTATCGATTAAACTAATGAAAATAAGTAAATGTGTTTTTCAAATATGTGAGATGCATTGCTAAGATATCTAATCCCTCTTGCTATCTCATTTTTAGTGTAACAACTAAAGTGACAATTTGAAATCATTTATGTTGGTTAATGCTCCTAATTTAATTGAAAGCCTCTCTCGATAGCGATCAAATATAATCCACTCATGTGACATTTCTATCTTTCGATGAAAGATGCAAACATGATAAATGTATTAACAAGTGTTATAACTATAACCATATAAAGCATAAATGTATATCTTAAATTAATTCCAACTTAAATCGAATAACAAACAAATTTTGTGATTTTTTATATAAATTACTAAATTATCGATTAAACTAATGAAAATAAGTAAATGTGTTTTTCAAATATGTGAGATGCATTGCTAAGATATCTAATCCCTCTTGCTATCCCATTTTTAGTGTAACAACTAAAGTGACAATTTGAAATCATTTATGTTGGTTAATGCTCCTAATTTAATTGAAAGCCTCTCTCGATAGCGATCAAATCTATTTCCCTCATGTGACGCTTCTATCTCTCGATGAAAAATACAAATATGATAAATGCATTAACAAGTACTAGAACACATATTGAAACCATATAAAGTATAGAGATATATCTATATCCCATATCGGACTTTACAATGTTTATTATAATATGCTTAAACTCTATTGTTTCTCTCGATAACAATAAAATCCACTAACAATTCAATTGGTGATCAAACAATTGAAAATAACGATAAAAACAATAATAAACATCCACAAATCAAATCAAATCAAATTCAAAATAATTAATTAAAAACTAAAAATATCATAACAAGGGTTCATATCATCCTACCAATGTATAAAATTAGCCTAACACGTCGAAAATACGAGAAAACATATTTAAGTGAAAAGACATAACTCGAATTTTTGATAAATTGAAAAGATGAAGATGAATCTTGAAATCTTGAATCTCTTCAATGGTTTCTTGATGAATCTCCACTTGTGCCTTCTATTCTTTGCCCAAAAATCAAGTTTCAATCTTTATTGATTGAATTCTTGCAAATCTTCTTCAATTCTTTCACAAAAATAATGAATTTTCATACTTTAATGATAATAATTGATGAAAATTGGAGTATAATATGTATATGAGAGGTCCTCCATATATGTTTTATTGTTAGCTATTTGCAGGTGTCAACAATTGGTGGAAAATCATGTCCAAATTGACTTCCAAAAGAGTTCAATCGAATAAGGAAAGTTGTATTCGCACGCGAATTTTTTGTCTCTACACTGCAGTCAGTATTTTGGTCATATCCGATTGAATCGATTTAAAGTGCATTGGAAAGATAACTCAAAGGGCTACATCTTTAATAGAAATAGAATTTTTTCAATTCGAACGTTTACTATGCCAAAAATGAGTCTCAATTTTCGACTAAAAATCTCGAATATAACTTGTGCGATTGAACATTGATTGTCTTTTTTGAATTCAAATTTCATCCAATTGTCTCATAAAAATCTTCCAACTCATCTTTTTGTCCGAATTAACTATTGAATATTTACAATTTGTTCCGCAAACTTTGGATTTTGCCCATTTTCACAAATTTTTACATCTTTTTCTTTCAATTCCTCGTCCAACCATTGAATTTTATCTATATAACATAAAATATAATAATTTAGGATATATTTTTTTAAAAGAACTATCAAATATCGCTATTTTAGATTCCGAATAAGTGTATAAAATACAATTATCATTCATCATAAATCTTACAATGTTATTTTATTTTTGTATTTTCAATTGAAATCATATTTAAAAATTAAGCAATAGCAATAAAAATATATAATTAAATGAGAAGATATATCATTTCATCCCTCACTCATGTCCCATTTAATCCTACTTGATATGTAATGTAGGGAAAATTTTATTTTTGTGCTTGGGTTATTTGAATATTTTAGTTGTTTTATACATGCATTTGGTGTGGGAATAAATAACTGATATTTTCTGGTGATATGTCATTTTATACTTTTTGGTAAGGATTTATTAACTTTGTCCTCTTTCTATTATCTCACTAATAACGTGCAAGTCATGTCTTTTAATATATAAAAAACACTTTATTGATTAGGATATTTATCCTATCAAACACTTTTTTTCTTGTGGTTTGCATTTCAGCAGTCTATTGATTAGGTACAACGAGAATGGTGTGGAGAGATATAAAAGATGAGAGAGAGAGACATTATTGTATAAATATCTATAAAGTTACAAGAAATGTCCACTTTTTTATGATCATTTATAGAAATGTCCAAAATTTGTTCGTGGTCTATTTTGCATTTTTTTTTACCAAAAATACCCTTGTTAATAATTTATAATTCCACACTAAAGATAAAAATGTGCATACAATTAAAAATTTTGTTGGCAGATTTCGAAAATATTAACCAAAGAGGTTTTCACTAAAAAAATTTGACATATTCTTCTCCAATTTTGAAATGGCAGATTTTTCATTGCTTATGTCAAAATGATGTCGGAAATCATATGCCATTTTTCTTTGGATTTGATGGGGGTTTGTTTTCCCTTTGTTATATCGTGCTCGTTTCGAAAAACTATAAGTTATTAAAATTATAAATTGATAGAAATAAGTGGTGGATAAGTGCGTAGTAGTTATTTTTCCTACAAAATGTATAGTTAAAATTAAAATTTAATTTTGAATTAAAGAATATGTAATATAAATCCGATTTTATCACGTTTCCGATTCCAAAAATCAAATTTTACATGCAAAAATTTGTTGGGGTTGACTCATAATTCTATTAAAGTTGGG